TTTAATTTTTAAATATAATATATGTATATCTATATATATATATATATATGTCGTTAAACAAACGCGAATCTTACGTTTTCTCGTTAATTTGGTAATTTTTTTTCTTGTGTTCTTATTTCAATCCGTTTGATCATCATGACACACGTTTTGTCAAATGTATATGTGTGTGTGTGTTTGTTTGTGTATTTTAATTTGCAATTACGAAAAATGATTTAAACGTTTATAATATTAAAAATCTATTATTTATTTATTATATTCGGCTCTAGAAATTTGTCACGAACGATAAGCGAGATTTTGAGATTTTGTTTTATTAAATTTGAAAATGTTTTTTTTTTTATTTTTTATTATTTTTTTTTTTTAGTATTACGTTATAACAAACGTAAAAATATATTTTGTTCGTCCTTTCAGGTACCGTACGCGTTAAAAGGATTCCTCTCTTTCTATTTTTCTTACTCGTTCAATTTATTTATCTTTCATTATAATTTTTCCAGACGATATTTGACAATAGCGAGTTACGGGTTTTTTTTTCTTTTATCGAGATAACGTATTATCTAAGAAAAATATTTAACAAAATGTAATATTAATTTTTCAAATGAATGAAAAATATTCCGTCCGTTTCCATTCTCTCAATTTTCCATTTAAAAAAAAAAGAAAAAATAGAAAAAAAATAAGAAAAAAAAACCGAATAAACGTAAAAATTGTTAGCCGATTACACGAAGAATAAAAAAAAAAAAAAAAAAAATAAGAAAAAAAAACCGAATAAACGTAAAAATTGTTAGCCGATTACACGAAGAATAAAAAAAAAAAAAAAAGAAAGAAAAATAAAAAACCAGACTAATTAACCCTTTGAGTGCTATGGACGCATATATGCGTTTAATACAAATTATTAGAGTGGTTTAATTTGTTTATATTACTAGATTATAATTATTAATATAATTATATTATATTACTAAAGTGGTGTTTGATTATATTAACGTAAAATCATGTAATGTTTATATTAATTGATTAAATTATATTTATAAAGACAAACTTTAATTATTACATATAATTATTAATTAAATAAAATTAATAAAAATAATTAAATTAATTAATAAATAAAATTCAAAATAATTAAAATAATTAATAAATAAAATTCAAAATAATTAAATTAATTAATAAATAAAATTCAATATAATTAAATAAAATTAATAAACGTGTAATTAATTTATTAGAATCTAATTAATAATAAACAATTCTATTTCTACAAAATATTTTTTAGATAAAAATATTCAACACTCAAAGGGTTAATTAAATTTCGTTTCACTTGCACACATCTCGTATTTGTATTATACTTTTTTTTAATTAATTATTGTAATTATTGTTTTTTTTTTTTTTTACAAGCTATCGTATATCATAATTAATATACTTAGGTTTTTTATTATTTTTATTTTTTATTTTAAAAGGCTTATTATTCGTTTAGAAAACTTTGGCTCTCTATTTTGATAAAATATACAACAATATCGTAAGAAAAAAATGTAAGATCTTATCGAACAACGTATTTTATCGGACACCCGGGCTTTTTATTTTTTTTATTTATTTATTTTTTATTTTGTTTTAAATTTATTTGATCGCGTTCTCTGTTTTTCTCAGTCTCTGTGGTTTGCTCGGATTATTTTAACGAAAAAAATTTTCTTCTCGTAATGTAACAATAAATTGTCATGCACGCGTGAATGCGTGCATAGTACATGCGTGCGTGAGTGGTGTGGTTTTATTTTTATTTTATTTTATTTTTTTTTTTTAAATAGGATCCTGTGATCTTCGTTGTATCCAGAAATCATTAGATTATTTTTTTTTTTCGTTTATTTCTATTCTTTCTTTCTTTTTTCCTTTCCTATCTTTTTGTTTTTGTTTTTTATTTTTGTTAAACATAAAACATCGTTTTATCAAAGAGGCAAACGTGGAGCTGCAAAATCGTGGCCGTCACTTTTATTAAGATTTTTTTTTTTTTTACTTATAGTCAGCCCAAACAACATTCTAGGAATCCCATTTGATTGTCTACGATAGTAAAATAATATTATTAATTATTATTATCTAAAAAAATATACATACACGATTACAATTTTCTTGTTTTTCAAACGTACGAATCGTATTTTTTTATTTCATTTTCTACTTTTTTTTTTTTTTCTAGTTTTCTTTTAAACATCGATAAAAGTTTCTTTAACAGGTTCTTTAGTTTCTTTTTTCTTTTTGTTGTTGGTTTTATTTTTAACGTTCAACTTTTATCCATATTTCATCTAATATTTTTTGTAACATTTCGATAGTTTTTTAAGAATATATAGAATAATAATTATTCGTATATTTTTTAAATACATATATTATTTATAACTTTTATCGAGAAGTGTTTCTTTTTTTTTCTAAATATTTGTAAAGAAAACGTACGTTTAACAAGAATTGAATAAATTATTAGGAAACCTTTAATAAAAAGATGATATTTAAACTGATGATTAAATTGATCAATCTTGTATTAATAATTATGATAATAGACTAAATTGAAATAGATATAAGAAATAGATGAAAATTGAATGATCTATATAAAATAATATAAAATAAATAATTATAAAAATACATTGATTATAATTCTTAGATTCGTACCATTGAAAATCATAAATTTATCAAACTACCAAAATACTAAAATACCAAAACAAATTTATGTTGAGAATAATTTTTAATGGATTGAAAAGAAAATCCAAAATTTGATGATCTATATATAAAATAAAAATTAATAAAAATAAATGAATTATAATTCATTGATTCGTACCATCTAATCATAATTATAAAAATACCGAACTATCAAAATACCAAAACAAATTCATCTTAGGAATAATTTTCGATGGATTGAAAAAAAAAAAACCAATTTCCTTGCAATAATTGAATATTTTGTTGAATAAAAAAGAAAAAAAAAAATGAGAACCGAGCGGACGTATCGGTAAAAGGTAAAAAAGCTCTTGAGGAAACGGTTTCACGGATAATACGTTATACGTTCAACGAAACGTACGTAATTCGCTGTGTATCTGCGTGCTTTACGCTCAACCGCGCGAACGGCGACTGAACGGATCGAGTATTATTATTTTTTTTTTCCTTTTTTTTTCTTTTCTTTTTTTTTTTTAAACTCTCCTCCTACCTCTTTCCCTTCTGTTTATTTTTCCCCCTCTCTCTGTCACTACTCTTTTTCCTTTTGTCGAAGCCGACGTAGTTCGATATTTTGCACGCGCATTAGGTCGGTCTTGCTTCGCTGGTTAATTTCTCTGTCCTAACGGCTTGCGAGGATGCAGTTCCACGATGCTTTTGTGCACAACGTAGACCGTGATTGAACAAATCTCTGAGCCTGATGTGTAACTTCTTTTTTCTTTTCTTTTTTTCTATTCTTTTTTTCTTCACGCTTTGAGGAGTAAAAGAAGAGAAAATTATGCATCCGACGGTTATCGTCGTCGTCGTCGTCGTCGTCGTCGTCGTCGTCGTTGTTCCGGGTTTGACAACGACTTTGACTAATTTAAACAACGCATGCGTTATTTTAGGGGTTGACAAGAGACCAAAAACATATTTGAAAATAGAAAAATGAACGAAAGATTAAAGAAATAACAAGGGGTTGGATCTGAAGTTGGATGAGGTAGAACGTAAAATAGAAAAATAAAAGTAAAAAGCAAGTAGAAGTAAAATAATATTTGTAAATAGGAAAATTAGTGAAAGCTTATAGAAATAACAAGGGGTTGGATTTGAAGTTGGATGGGGTAGAACGTAAAATAGAAAAATAAAAACAGAAAGTAAAAGTAAGAGAATATTTTTATAGAAATAATAAGGGGTTGGATTCGAAGTTGATAAAATAAAATAAAATACTAAAACAACAAACTAAATAAAAATACAAAGAAATTAGAAATAAAATAATATTTGCAAATGAAAAAAATTAACAAAACAACAATTGAATTAGAAGTTTGACGGAAAAACCAAAAAAAAAAAAAAAAAAGAAAAGAAAATAAAAATAGAAACCAGAAGGTTGTAAAATAACAGCTGGATATTTTAAGAACTGCGTCTCGTTTCAAAAAATAAAAAAGAAAAAAAATGAGGGTAGAAAAAAAAAAATAAATGGTCGTTCTCGCGTAGGCGTGTTTCTTCTCAATTATTAATCGTCGTCGTCGAGGCCAAGAAGCTCCGGTGGAAGTCTTCTGTGTCGACAGCACAGCGTCAAGCAAAGAACACGCGCAGCGAGCCGAAATTGGGGACTAAGTGCGCCGAGGATGACCGCTTTCCAAAAACTGTTTGTTATCCCCAACCATACAACGGCAAAGTGTAAAAACGGTACCTGCAAAACAAACAAATATTTTGTTTCAAAATTAAATACATCAATCATTTTTATCTATTTAAGTTAATTTCAATTAATTTCTATCATCACAGTGATATATACTTTAATCAATAAAATTTATTTAATATTATATATTAAATATTTCTTTTTGTTTACTATATACATATATCTATATACGTAATTTATATATTTTTAAAATAAATACATTAATTTTTGTTATCTATAATTTAAATTAATTTTAATTAATTCCTATCATACAATGATATTATATACTTTGATCAACAAAATTTATTTAATTATTATATATTAAATAATTTTTTTTTGTTTATTACATATATCTATATATGTAATCTATACGTTTTAAAATAAATACATTAATTATGTTTATCTATAATTTTAATTAATTGAAATTAATTCCTATCTCTGTGATAAATAAAATTTATTTAATATTATATATTAAATATATTTTTTAATTACGTATATGTATACACATTACATGTTTTTATTCTTTTCTATTTTTTTTTCTTTTTTAAACGTATACCTGTATTCTATATCTATAAATAACACGTAAACACCGTTCTCGTGCATACTACGTAGTTCTATTATCCACTTATGGTTAGTGAAATAAGAATAGCAAATTTAAAATATTAAAGGTGCTACTAATAATCTCGATATAATTTAGAACATGTTATTAGCCTCTTTTTTTTTTAAAGAAGTCATTTGAATATGTTGAATATTTTCACGGTTGGTAAAAAGAAAGTCATAATCGAAAAATGAGTCTTTAGGTATATACATATACACGAGTTAGGTATATACGTTATTTTACGGCTTTAAGAATTCTCTGTTAACCTACTCCGCTTCTTAAATAGTCTGACCTAAATTTAAGTTAGCGGTGGTCGTTAAAACTCTTTTCTTTTATCAAGTATATATCCACATTGTATCGTTCTTTCATTCGTTAAACGTGCAAGAGAGACCCCGTTAGTGACAAAAAAAACCTTCAAAATGTTAACTGTAAATTTTCATTGAACTCAAATTAAAATGTTAAAAATAGAGAATCAGATAAAAAAAAGACAAATCAAGAATAATAGACAGGTGTGTACCTGAGGAGGACCGCTAAAGACAGCGTATAATCTGATTCCTGCATAGGGTGCCCATGATAACCAGAAAGTCATCACCAGGACAAATGACATGATGTGACTTGGGTTGCTCAAATTTTCTGAAAGTGCAGTGGCATATTCCTTGTCGTGCAACAGTGCACCAGATTTCAATCGTCTCATCATCGAGAATATATAGAAATAGGTATAGACGATGGTGATTACTGATGGTCCGAGCACTAGGATTGACAAGGTGATGGTGTATGCTACCATGTTACCCCAATCTAGCATACAGATGAAAGATTCACGATCAAATATCGGTTTGTTGAAGCCAAGAAGTGGAGGACAACACATCATTGCTACGCTGATCCATGTGAAAACCATCCAACATTGACATCGCGTTTTCGTTTGCACTGTCTCGTATCTCAATGGTTTCCTGATTAAATAGTTTTTTAACAATTTATTTACAATAACAATTATTATATTTAATTAAATTCTTACATTAGACTATTTTTGTATTTGTTATAGGATAGCATAATTTATTGAACCCTTTGAGCACTGAATACTATTTTTAATTTAAGTGTTTTAAATTAAATCAAAATAACAAATTGTATTTAATAATTAAACTTTTTCTTTGTTAATATAATTTTCATGGGACAATAAATAAAGCAATACTCTATAAATAACACGATATTAAATTGTTTTGCATTTAATGTTGACACAAATACGTTGTATGTATTTGATAAACCACGCTGACAAAACTTTCACCAAACGCATATATTTGCGTTCATAGCACTCAAAGGGTACATTTTATATAAATAAAAAGGGTCATTTATTTTTCCTTCTAATTTGTTTATACCTTTTTTTAAAAATTATTTAATATAATTTTTGTTAAATAATTTTGTCATCTATTCAAAAAGATAATCTGTCATGTTTTCAATCTCGATTTTTGGAAATGTAATTCAGGGTAAGAAAAATATTTTATATGATAATAATAAGATAATAATTATTAATTAATTATACTCGTAAGTGTAATTTGAACTTACCTGACGGCTAGGTAACGATCGACAGAAATCCACATAAAAGTATAAACGGATACCGCCCATAGGGTAACTTCGAGGTATCCTACGAGACGACATACGATGTCTCCGTAGACCCATTTTCTCACCAATGCCGGATATACCGAAAGCGGAACCACCAACAGACCACAAAGAAGGTCCGCAGAAGCCAGTGACAGCAAATAGTAATTTATCACCTCGGAGGGACCTGTGCGTTATATTATCATCTTAAAAACATTTCTCAAACTTTCTAAAGTTGGGTTTTCTAAAGTTGGGTAATCACGTATACTTTTTCATTTTTATATATTGTTATATACATATATTTATTTATTTATATTTATACGACAAGGTAAGATAAGTTTTTAACTATGAACTCTCTTGTGCAATCTTTTATGAAATTATATATATATGTTATGGTGAATGATCGGAATTGATGAATGTCAAGATTAGTATCGTTGAATTTTGACACATACCAATTACAAATATTTTAGTATAATATATTATAATATATATATATATGATAAATTATTATTAATAATTATAATTATAATTATGTTTATTATTATTAATAATATATTATATATTTATATATTATTTTATAAATTAGTATATTATATATTATATATAATAATATTAATATTATATTGGATATAATATATTATAATTTTGGGTATAATATATTATGGTATTATATATAATACAATAATATTAATATTTTATATATTATTAATATTATTTTATAAATTAGTATATTATATAAATATTATATTGAGTATAATATATTATAATTTTGGATATAATTGGATTTGGATATATTATAATTTGGTATTATATATTATATATATAAATTACATTATTAAATTATTTGCTAACTCAACTCATATTTTTGTTCTTTTCTTTTAATTTTAATTTCTTTTCCTTACTTTTTTGTTAAACCAATGAAAAGTCAATAAACTGATAGTACAATTGTGTGTAATCAAATTGCAAACTAGTTCTCATTTGTCAAAAAAAGAAGAAGAAGAGGAAGAAGACTTACCACGGAAATTGAGGTATGTGACGATGACGAGGAGATTCGAGAGGATGATGGCGACACAGACCACGAAGATGAGGCTTGCCTGCATGAGAGCCTCCAGCGAGGGCTCCTCCATGCCGCCACCCTTTCGAGCTGCATCCCCTTCACCCGCCCTTCTAACTCCTGTTACTCTTCTTTACAGCCTTCTTTCTTCACGAAACCCTCTCTCTCACTCTATTTCTCTCTTACTTCTTCTTCTTCTTTTTCTGTGGAACTCGTTTTCACTCACTCTTTTTATCTATTTCTTTTTATCTATTTTTCTATCTTTCTTTCTTTGACGTTTTTTCGATTTTCTACGTTCGTCGTTCCACTTGACTCAAACCTTGGAACCCCTCATGCGACAGAGTTCTCGTCAAAAGGTTCACATCTTCGACGATTTTGTTGAATGATCGATAAAGTAACATTCCTGTAATTAAAATCAAAATTTATTAGAATGTTTGATTAATCTATGAATGAATAATTATTATTTAATAAATATATAAAAGGTTCACACATTTTTGACGATCTTGTGGAAGGATTAATAAAGTAACATCGTTCTAATGAAAATTAAAAATTTATATAAATGTTCATTAATCTATAAAATTAGTAATTATTATTTAATAAATAATAACAGTTTCCATTTTTGACGATCTTGTTGAAGAATTAATAAATTAACATTCCTCCTAATAAAAATTAAAGATTTATAATTCAATAATCTACGAATTAAATACGTAATTTTTTTGTAACTTTAATTGAATTATAAAATAATATAGTTAATTTTTATAATTTTAATAAAATTTGTTAACTTAAATCCAAGATTTATAGTTCAATAATCAACGAATTAAATATATGTAATTTTATTTATTTTTAACTTTAATTAAATTATAAAATAATATATAATAATTAATCTTAATAATTGTAATAAAATATGTTAATTTAAATCCAAGATTTATAGTTCAATAATCTA